AGAGAGAGATTTAAGTGGGTGTCATCAACTTTGGGGATATACTTAAAGTCCACTGAATTTCCATGTACTTTGAAATGATGAGACACCCAGATAACAGAGTGGTTCTGTGTTAGGTTGTTTGCCACAAGTTAAACGGTTCAAAACCACCAAATGCTCTGTGGGAGAAAGACTAGGCTTTCGATTCCCGTAAAGAGTTACAGTCTCCAAAACCCACAGGCGCAGGTATCCCCTGCCCTGTCGGGTTGCTATGAGTTGGAATCGACTTCATGGCAGTGAACTGAGTTTTAAAATGATTAAGTTTATGGGATGTTAATTATGTTTTTAAAAGCAGTTATATAATAATATGATGCTTATTAGGAATGGGACGTATAAATTGTTGTGGCAATAACAGGATTCCTGGGACAGCACAGAAGGAGATGAGATTAGAGAAAGGTTTGGGGCCCAAATCCTCATAATGTTTTAAAAACTGTGCGAGGACTTGTGCGTTTTGTTCCCTGGGCTGTGGGAAACCACTTTAGTTTTTTAAGCCTGAGAATCTATACAGCTCAGTTGGTTTTAATGTATGAATCTGCCAGCAAGCTGAAAGATGGATTCACTATCAGTGAAAGTGAGAGGAGAGAGAGAAAGTTAGGCTATTGGAACATGTTGATCAAAGAACATAAACAAGTGAAGCAAGGGTGGGATTGAAATGATTCTTAATGACCAGACATGGAAGAGTAAGGGAGCAAGACGAAGAAAAGAAACCCCCGAACTTCTCATTTTTCACATTTACCGAAGAAGGGTTTGATACTAGTTTTCTTTGCTGTATAATAAATTACCACAATCTCACATTTTTTTCCATTTAAATATTCTGTGAGTCTCTAGCTCAGGCTTGGCTTAGCTGGGTCCTGTGCGAGGTTGCGGTCAAGGTACTGGCCACACCTGGGACTCGCCCGTAAGTGAACTGGCCGTGGTTCTAGTTCCAGGCTCATTCAGGTTGTTGGCAGGATTCATTTCCGAGTGGAAGGCCTGAGGGCCTACCTTCTTCCTGGTTGTCATGGTGGGGGTTGGGGGGCCTTTTTGGTTTTTTGGGGAGGTTGTTGTTGTTTTTTTTAAAGGTTCTGTACAGCAGAACAAAGCACTTCCTGGGCCTGTGCTATCCTCCCAATTGTTCTTATATTTGAGGCCATTGGAGACTGCTTATAGCTCCTTGCTAATAGACAGACGAAAACCCGTATTTCACCCTTGCTTGGATTTGTATATTTATTAATGAGATTGAACATTTTGATGAGTTTGCCCCTTTTGTGATTTAACATTTTTGCCTTTCTGTTGAAATTTGCCAGCTTATTTTACAGATATTAGCCTTTGGTCATGCATTGAAAATATTTTTCTCAGTGTATTCTTTGCCTTTTAACTTTTCCATGATATGTTTTTGCTATACAGAAAGTTGAACATTTTAAGTAGTTAATTCCACTTAAACTGCTACTTTCCAGTTTCTGTTTTTGTTGTTAGGTACATAAAGCAATCCAGCTATTGCTGACAGATCACGCAATTAGTCAAGCATTGAGCTGCTAACTTCAAGGTCTGAGGTTCAAACACACTAGCTGCTTTTAAAGATTTGCTAAGCCTCATCAACCATGTATAGGGTTGCTATGAGTCAGAATCGACCTGATTCCAGTGGGTGGGAATATGTTTATGCTTTTTATTTTTACATTAAACCTTAAATCCATACCTTAGGTGCTGTCCAGTCTCTTAGGTCTCATAATAACCCATGTTACCAAACGTGAGGTTCTTCTCCAGGGAATGGTCCCTTCTGGGAATATATCTGAAGTAGGTGAGATAGAGTCTCACTATCCTCACATCAGAGGAGCTTTCTGGTTTGTTACTTGGCCGAAGGCAGATTTGTTTTTACTTCTGGCCGCCCTTGGAACTTCCACTATTCTTGGCCAACACCCTAGTTCAAATGCGTCGATTAATCTGCTATCTTCCCTGTTCACTGTCCTGCTTTCCCTGCATAAGAGGCAGTTGAAAATGCCGCACCTTAGGTTCTCACACTGGCATCTTTACTCTTTAATAAGTTTCCTAATGCAAATGCAGTAGTAGATTTGCCTAATGCAACATACCTTTGATTTCTTGAGTGCTGTTTCTCTGGGTGTGGATCCTCGTAAAATTAATCCTCAACAACTTCATTCTTTTCCCCTTTATCACAGTGTAGCTTATTAATTCAGTTGTGAGGATTTTGTTTTATGTTGAGGACTAATCCACATGGAGAGTCTTTGTATTCATCAGAAAGTGCTTCAAGTCCTCTTCACGTTGCGCAAGCAAGGTTGTGTCATATGCATATCACAGGATGACGAGTCTGCCTCTCCTATTGATGCTGCGGCCTTGTTCATCTAGTTTAGCTTCTCTGATTACTTGTTCAGGACGTGGACTGAATAAGCATAGTAAATGGATAAAATCTTGATGCACACCTTTCCGGATTTCAAACCAGGCAGGCATGGAAACACATCTTTATTTTCCCTGAAACAACAAATTAGCTACCAACCTTTGTGACTGTAAGGATCCCTAATGCCAACCACAAAGTCAACAGTTCAGAACCACCAGTTTTTTCAGGGGAGAAAAATGAGGCTTTTTACTCTTGTAAAAATGTATACTCTTAGAAATGCACAGGTAGTTCTACTCTGTCCTCTAGGTTGCTAGTGTCACTAATAGTTGGAATCAACTCGATGGCTATGTGTTTTGATTTTTTAAATTAATCCTTCAGCTATTTGTTTACAATTTGAAGTCTCATTATTTTTAAATGCTAAGTGTGTGTGTGTGTATATGTATGTTTACCTAAAAATATCTTCCCCAGGAGTATGCTAAGATTCCTAAAGTTCCTAACATGAGCATTACCTTACTATTTCTAGAATAGTTTTTATAATTTTTAAACAAACTTTTGTATTATAAGATCTTATCGACTTTAAAAAGAAAAAAGATCTTATCCAGTGCTTGCTTGTTACTCTATTTCTTGATAATTAAATATAACTTAATTTATATCTTATCAGAGTCTTTGTATTACCAGCGAGAGATTTTTCTCTTTGGGTCAGCTCACAACCCTTCAGGGTAAAGGCCAAGTGTATTTGCCATTGTATTGCTAAAGAATTCAGGGCAGTGTAGAGCTACAGAAATTTCATCTTCTCCTTGCTTCACTAGTAAACACTGAAAATCAAGGTCTATAGGCATATTGGGATTTTGAAAAGGTAGCCAGATGTTTAACAACATTTAGAGATGGACAGCACTTTGAGTGAAGTCATAGATGGACTCATTACAGAGTTTTTAATCGCAGTGGTTACTAGGACAGCTTTCTTAAGGCTCTTCCAGTCTATGGAGGGAAACATTACACATGGCCACAGAGCTGGGGAAGGCATGGTTTCACTGCAAGTTTCTCCCGAAATAAAAGATGCATCATGCTGGTGTAGGGCATGGTCTACTTTGTGAATGTTTGTAGCAAGACTAAATTGATGGAGGTCTGCTTTTCTGAGAAAAGCGAAGCAATCACAGAGCTGGCCAGTGAGTAGAAAACTTGACATCTGGATTGAGCTATTAAGTTAATAGGGTGACTTTGAGTAGTACCTAGTTATCCCCCCCCCTTTTTTCCCCCAGTTTCTATTTGTAATATTGTAATAAAATGAGCACTTGCCTCCAAATTTGCCTCTGTGGAACATTAGTGCTGCAAGGGGCTCAGTGAGAACTGTCAGGAGTCACACTCCATGGCCACCTAAGTTAGGACAATAAATGTTGGAGACTTGATCCTCCTCTAAGAAATGCAGGGTGTAGTAGAATACTAAAGTGTAGTAGAACGCTTATAAGGAGCCTAGGTAGTGCATGTAATTTGCAATTGGCTGCTGCCCTAACAGTTGGCAGTTCAAACCCACCTAGTGGCTTCATGAAAAAATCCTAGGGAACTATCTCTAAAAATATTGCAGCCAAGAAAGCCCTCTACAGCAGTTCTATTTTGTAACATGTGGCATGTGGTTACCATCAGTCAGATTCAACAGCATTTAAAAGTAATGAGAACAAAACCAAAAAGCCAAACTCAACTGCCATCGAGTAGATTCTGAGTCATAACAACCCCATAGGACAGGGTAGAACTGCCCCTGAATTTTTGAGACTATAACTCTTTCCCAAGAGTGGAAAGTCTCATCTTTCTTCAATGGAGTGATTGGTGTTTTCAAACTGCTGACCTTGTGGCTAACAGTCCAACACGTAACCACTAAGCCACCAGGGCACCTCAATGAGACTAAGAACACTGGTACAAAACCTCCCTACTTCTTTTGGACCCATCTCTTGGCATCCATGGGCGGAACTTATGCTCAGTGAAACCCATGTTGGGAGCCTGTGTTAGCTCCTGTCTGAAGTCATTAAAAAGATCATTCTAGTCCTGGTAAAAAGGTTTATGTTATATAAGTACTCTATTTCATATGTGATACTTTGATGTCAATGTAACATCTTAAACACGGAAAGAACCTTTTTGTTTGTTTGATTTTGGGGTTTTGTTTTGGTTTTCACAGTTTGATTGGCATATATCTTACAATATGGCATATGAAATACAATTCAGTCATTCATCAAAGCAAGAATAATTGCACCATCATCACCCCAATCAGTTTTATAATTCTTGTATTTGCCCTCCCCTTTGGGCAGTGTCCTCATATTCATGGATATTTGAAATAGCGATGCATTGCGTTTTCATCTTAAGAAGAGTTTGGTTTGGAAAGATAGAGAAAGGCAGGGTAAAAGGTTTCGCTACTCTGCAGAAACTCCATCTAACGCTCAGGCTTTCTATAAGGTGCAATTTGGCACTAAACACTCATTACTTCCACCATATGCTGTCTTTGTGTTTAGCATGACGTCAGTTGTTATGGGTGCAAAATCAATAGACCCCTAGGAGTTCTTTTTTATTTATTTTCATGAAATGATGCTTTGCTTTTTAATATGGGGGGCGAGATGAAAAACCAAGGTATCTTCATCTTTCTGTGTAGGATGGGTGCTGCTGATAACATATGTAAGGGACAGAGCACATTCATGGAAGAGCTGGCAGACACTGCGGAAATACTAAGGAAGGCCACAGCCCAGTCCTTGGTTATCGTGGATGAACTGGGAAGAGGGACGAGCACGCACGATGGAATCGCCATTGCTTATGCGACGCTTGAACATTTTATTAGAGATGTAAGTATCCTGCGTACTTGGTGGTACCTACTACACAAATAGGTTTCCTGACCTGAGCATCCCAGTATTTAAAGCTATTTTTAATTGTTATGATTGGCCCTATCCCTGTCATTGACTATGGGTCCTGAGTGATGGTTCTGAATTTTGAGGTGCCTTCTGCCCTCTGCGGAAGGAAGATAAACCTGGGCTGCAGGAGAAAGGTCTCCGTGGCAACAGAGCCACTCCAAAGCCTGTCCGATTACTCTTGGCAAGCACTAAACCAAGAGCAGGTATAACCTACTTCCTTCCCCTTCCTTAGGGAAAGAACAAACAGGAAATGGTATCAGTTTTACCCTGTGGAGTCGGCTTCAGCAGTTTCCTAAAAGATCTCAACGTTACTGTCTGTTTGTATTACACCACTGTCTGGTACCTCAGCCTGGTTCACTGTTTGGCGTATCTAAGCATCTCAGTGTAGAAAGCTTTTGTTTCAAACTTTCCCTCTCTCTATATCGCTCACCCTTAAAACCTGCTCTTATTTACTTCCTCTCCATCCATTTCAGTCTTTCTCTTTCTCGCCCTCTTAGCACCTGCCCCTACCTGTGGGATCTGCGGCAACGTTTCTTTTTTCGTTTTGTTACTCTTCTTTACGTGGTCAATAAAAGCTTGTATTTTACTTATTTTCTTTCCACAAAACATAAAGCACAAAAGCAAAATTCCTTTTTCATTAAATTTAATTACCCTCAGTTTTGTTTGCTGAATATAAATTTATAATTATTTGTGCTTATTAAATAAATTTATAATATATAAATACATTAATGATTATGTGTATCCTACTCTGATTTGCATATGTATGTGTGTATTTGTATATGTATATATGGAATTATCACATGGGATTTTTGGTCAGTAAAGATGAAAATAAACAGGATTCAGGTATTTGTAAACTGATAGAACTCAGCAACTTGCCTTTAATCATTATGGAAACTACATGTTAAGGAATGTGAGTAAACTCACATTACTACCTCCAAAACACATTTTATACATTCATTAAGAACTCCTGGAACACATTGAGAGAGAACTGAGCTGACTACCTTTGAGTTTGATGTCATTGTTTCCGTTATATAACTTTAGAAATTAACTTTTAGACCTAGACTTGGTGTTAACATTCCTTAACATAGAGATTTCTAGAATATATAATTGGTTCTTTCACATTATATTGATTAAAGAATTCACAAATTTATACAGATATTAAGAAAACATTAGATAAACTAAAATGATGAAGGTATGGTAGGGAAAATGTCAGAATGTCAATGAATAATTGTAGAAAGAATGTTTTATAAATCAACCTTTAATAACTACCATAACAACAGAGACAATGTCGACCAATAAAACCATTAGAAGAAAGAGTGTTGGAGAATAGGATATTTACACACAGTATCACTTTGTAGATTTCTTTATTATTTACGAAGGATGAAAGGTACCAGTACAATGAACAGATTTCATGGACACCAGCTTAAACCAAGTAATTAGCCTTGGCATCACAATATTGGGTCTAATGGCTCCTGATGTAATGCACTGAAAAGGGAAGATCACTTATACATAGTTGTACATGTGATATTCCTGGAAAAATATTTAATCTGAGTAAAATCATGAGGAGTAATCAGACAAATCCAAACTGAGGGATATTATGTAAAATAACTCTACCCGATGCTCAGAAAATGTGAATGCCCTAAAAAGACAAAAGCAAGAGACTGAGGGGGAGGGGAGAGGAAGGATGAGAGCGTCGGGGAGGGAGGAAGAGAAAAAGAGTGTGTGAGAGAGAAGGCTGGGGACTCTTCAAGATTGATGGAAACCAAAGAAACATTACTAAGTTTTTCATGATCCTTGACTTTTACAAAATGTTATAAAGAACAGTATGGGCCAGTTGAAATTTAAATAAGAGCTGTGTATCAGATAATAGTAATGATGCTATTTTATT